AAATAGCTCCTGTATTTATTTCTTACAGAATTAAATGAAAGAAAAATGTATTTTATATTCTTTAAAATGAATAATAAAAAATCATAATTTAATATCTCTCTTAAGCTAATACTTTTCATTTTTCTTTAGATAGTTAAATTAATTATAATTTAATTTATGGATATAAATTTCATATGAATTTATGCTCTCTCTCTCTCTCTCTCCCTCTATATATCTTCTATTTAACATAATATTAAAAGTTTAATAGAATCATTTCCAAAATATAAATTTTAGATTAAATTTCCTCAATACCATTTACTTTTTTTTAAAAAAAAATCAATAATTTCAATTTAATAATTAAATATTAGATAAGATCTTAGGTTTATTTTTATTATTATTATTATTATTATTATTAACTCTTTTAATTTACAATTTAATTTTATAAATACTAAAATAAATTTGCTTACCTTTTTTCCTCCACACAACTCACTTGCCCCAGCCACTCGCCCATGCACTCGCCGCCTTCTCTCTCTCTCGATCTCCCTCAAGTCCCTATCCTCTCTAATTTATAGGGAGGAAAAAACCCCCTTCGACTTCCTCATCTCCTTCGACTTCCTCAGACGACTCTGAGCGACGAATGGCTTTGATTTGCTTTGTCTTTCTCCCTTCGTCTTCTACAGGCCAAGCACCAAGCATCGCAGTCAATTCGTCTTCTGGACTCCTTGTTTCTCGACTGCTTCATCTGTTTCATTCGTCAATTCAGACTTCTCGTTCGTCGATTTCTGCGGGCCGATGGAACGAGCGCTTTCTTTGATTTCTTCTTCCTTTCACTTCGTCCTCTTCATCTTCTTCCCGTCAATGCTCAAGATATCACAGACATGGTATGTTATAAAATAAATGAAAAAAGTAAAGGGCTGTTATAATATGATTAATCTATGGAGTAAACTTGACTAGCGTAGGGCATATGATAATTGGACACGTGAAACTTATGTTATAAATTCTTCAATACAATTATCTAATGGTTGAATTATGCTTATACCTAAGAAATTAATGATTGTATATAATGCACCAAACTAGCACATGATCAAGCTTTGATTATTAAGTCAAGTCTATAATTAGGATGTTATGTTGCTTACCTTCCTTGAGTATTTAAATTCTATCTTAGAATTATTTATCTTGCAAAACTTAAAAACTTACCAGATTATTATTGTAGATAGAGGGAATGTAAGATTGATCATAAGTGAAAATCAAGTTTTAAATTTGCTGCCCTATGTTTTGATGTCTAGTTTTGGAGTAAGTTGCAAATAGTAACAAGGTAGTAAATATGATGAAAACTTGAAGTTGTATATGTGAACTCAGTGTTTATTAGAAACTCTGTAGTTGATTGAATAAAATATTTTGGAATGCTTTCATACAGTTGAATTGTGTTACCTTCCTAGATCTCTATGAATTTAGATTGTGTAGCATGTTTTGGTTTGGATTGTTTAGGTAGTTGAGTTTATCACCCATTATATTCTAGTGGGTAGTCGGTAGAGTTCCTGAATGGGTGTTGGTAGTGAATCTACAAAGTCATAACTTTCTATATTGCATCTTATGCTCAACTAGGAGGATTTGTAATGGGCTGTCATAGATCGATTGGAGAGATTGATGTGTAAATGAATTTAGAATTGCTTTGCAGCTATAATGACAACCATCTAAAAACAATTTGAATCACAACCAACATTTTTGAACAAGCATAGTTGTTGATTAAAATGCTATCACTCTTTATATCCAGACAACAAATCAATTAAGCGAGGAAAGACTAGTTGTTGGCCAAAGATCTACATCAGAAGGGGTGGTATTTAAAACTTATCAAACCAAGTTCACACAATAAGGATATTCAATTTAGTGTGACAAAGACAGGTGGCTCTACATTTGCTCACATATTCTTGTGCGCAAGGAGCTTGTCCAAAGTGGAGAGAGAATATAGGAATGATGTCAACATTTGTGTGCAAAGCAGCACTCCGTTCGAGTTTGCTAGTTGGATCCTCAAAGCAATTAGCATGAAGATCATCATGCAGTCCTCAATGCACAAGTTGAATGTTTCAAAGTTTGGAAGTGAGTTCACATGAGAGATAGATGTGGGGCACATAATAAAATAGATGTTAAGGTGGAGTTTGAGGGGTTGAAGAATATGAGATTTGAAGCAGAATTGTGACTAGGGTTTTGCATAGGAATGTTGTTAGGAGGATTAAGAGAGAAATATGAAATAAAGGTCCTTCTTTGAGAGACCATGGAAGAGGAAGGGGACAATCAGTAGCATGCAAAACTAGACTGACCAGAAGCATATAAAAGAGACAGACATGAGAAAGACAAGTGCATGATTGGGTGTTGGGGCATGAAAGTGAAAGCAGGTGGAGTCCTATGCAAAAGAAATAAGAGATGGAAAAGAGTGAATGGGAGGGTTAGGAGAGGAAAATGATGAGTGTGATTGGGTGTTGTATCGGAACCTTGAACATGAAAGAGAAAGAAAATGGTGAGAGATTGAGATGGATAAGGGCCTTTAGCATCAGTGAGACAGCATAATAATCATGTGGGACAAGCATTACAAGCAAGCGGAATAAGTCATTAGAACATGGACTAAATGGATCGCATGAGTGCAGGGGAGGTGTGTTTGGGTTGGATACATATATATAAGTTAGCCAAGAGTTGTGAAGCTGCTTGATAGCACATCAGGTTGGATCACATTAGTCAGCTAAAAAGAATCGACTAGTTAGTTAAGGTATAATTAGCCAACTTAGCTCATATTAAGGGCAGCAGTTCTACAGCCAATAAAGTGAGCTCAATGGCTAGGTAAATTGGGAAGAACCCTTAGATTTTCCAAAGGTAAATATCAAACTCACACAAGGTTATCAAAAATTCATGAAAATTATCTCGTTAAGAAAATTGACCAAGGAGTTGGTCTGGTATCCCTACAACGCTTTAAAGAATTCAATTCATGTCCATATGCGAAATTGATTTAACATGTATTAAATGTTAATCCTAACACGTGCAAGTCCTCTTAGAAACAACTAGTTGACTTGATCCATGTTTCAACTAAATCATGGTTTCCAAATTGAAACGCAAGACCCAGGTAGAAATTAAATATGGTTTCCAAATTGAAACGCAAGACCCACGTAGAAATTAAATATGAACTCCCAACCGAAATGCAAGATTTGTGATAAACAGATAAGATCATCCAAATCAAGGAGTATTAGTTTAACGAACAAGTGGTCCGATCCAAAATGTAAACCATGTTCACATAATGAAATTCTCTCACAAACAAGACCTACATGTCATGTGGATCTAGATAATTTTGTTCATTACTAGGTTAACCATATCTTAGAAAATCAGCTAAAAAATGCCCTAAGTTGATAAATCAATTCATAAATATAATAACCAAATAAAAATGAATTTCCTAGCGCAAAAACCCAATGGATACTATCATGAATTGACACCCCTCGGGGAAAAAATAACAACCACCACCTTTCTGAAGGGAAAAATTCTAAAAAAAGAAAGCAGTAACAAAGTAGTAGAGAGAATAATTGCACATAGAATATAAGCCCGTAAATATAATACTAATTGGTTTTCCCAATTTCAAATAGAGAGCTTAAAAATGGGTAATTCAGGGTTCACACTTTAAACTCATGGATCTTAAATGAACCAGTAATGTCAAAAATAAACCCATGCCAGTTTGAGAACGACTAGAAAACCACATCCAAGCACAGTTAAAAAATAGCTTAGCTGAAAAACTATATGCTTGGACGGAAGTAGATAATAGATATAAATCAAATGATGCAAGCAAAAATTTGGGAAGGGCACCAAATTTTTACAAGCAAAAAGTAAGCAAAAAAATTAGGAGCCCTAATTTTTTTTCTAGAAGAACATTCCCTTACTAGGATAAAGAAATTACACGAAATAGACAAAATACAACTTCACTTTTATATTATAATAGGACTTACAAACTTGGACACTTACAAACGACTCAAACAAGACACCTAAAGTTCATTCATCCATTGACCTAAAGGAGCTTTGCTTAGAGAGAAGAAAAATACAAGTTGAATGGTACTTGCGAAGAGGAGGCAAGAAGTCCAAGACGAAGATAGGAGAAGCTCGCAAGTCTTACAAAGAAGTAGAAGAAGAAGAAGTGGAACAAGCTCTCAAGCTTTTCCAAAAACCCTCAGGTTTTGCTATCCAAAAATTGCATTTTCACCCACCCTTTAAACATACAAATGAGCCCCTATATATAGGAAGAAAGGGGAGCTAAGCAGCCACCAAAAGTCACCAAGAAGAAGGCCAAAAGACAGCAATAAACTGCAGCAGAAAACTGCACATAAAACAAAGAGGCAGCCACCGAAATCCCCACAAAACTGCACAAAAAAACAGAGAGGCAGCCACCGAAATCCCCACCCAACAGCCACCAAACAGCAGCCCTTATTCAGTAAATGAAACAAAGAAGAGAAGCCACGGGAACCAAGTAGCCAGCCATGGGAACCAAGCAGCCATCTACGGGAACCAAACAGCTAGCTACAGGAACCAAAGGGCCAAGGCACGGGAACCAGCCAGGGAACCACGGGAAAACCAGTAGCAAGGGACCCGAGGAGTCAACACAGTAGACAAGGGGGCAGCCACGGAAAAACCAACCAGCAAGGGGAAACCGAGAAGACAAAGGGAGGAGAAGAGGCCCAAACTTATTCCATAATAAACTCCTTGAAATAATAGCATACCTTTTGATTTAATGAGCTAGGAAGTGCAATTAATCTCCAATCATTGAGCTAAAACTTCAGCTCAAGCATTTATGAGCTAGCACCAAGTAAATTTCAGAATTTTGAGCTCCGTACCAAGCAACCAAGGCCCAAACCGAGAGATAACAAGAAGCCCAAAAAAAACAAAATATACATTTTGTTTTGACCCCCCCTTTGCATGCATCACCAATATATCAAGGCATGCATAAAATGTAACTTCACATAAAGCAGGAGCAACAATAAGTTGAAATGACTCACATTCTCTGGCGCCAACATTCTTCTCAACTCTTCCTCAGATGGAATACGAAAATCAATCCTCTTAACCCAAGCCCCTTTCTGAAATATTACAAATGCAAACAAGACAACAAACAGAATAATTCAGATCAGCATTGAAGTTGAAAAAATAAACTCCATTGGCTCATGGAATAGTGTAGTACTAATGCAAAGTTCCTAACATAAATTGAATGCACCTTCAAATCTGCACACAGTTTCAGTCTCTTGCGCATAAAAGCATCTGTTAAGCCAGGAAAAAGTGCTGCCAACTCATCGGCACGAACAGATGGAAGGATACCAGGTTTCTCATTTGCGCGAAACTGTCTGTACACATATACCAGCATCCTGTTCACAAGATATGACTGTACATTTTTTGACCCTGGGGAAAGTACCTCCATATGAGGTTCCTGTAGCACATGACCAATTAAATTGTATTTCATCTTTCTTTTCATTGGAATACATTGTAGCACTGCATTTACCCAATTGAATTTTAAATTTCACAAGGCTACCATAAAGAATCGAACTATCAAGATTATTTTAGTAAAAAATTAGCATATTCTCCATCACAGCAATAATATTTTTAATGGCACATCATTATTGAGATCACAAACTAAAAATCCTATTGCTGCTATTGAAAAAAAAGGAAAAAATGTTTTTAAATTAAAAAAACTTCAGCAAACAAGGCAGTGCAAAAAAAATTTCCCTGTTAAAACTTGGGGAAGCATGATAAATGACAAAGGATGTGCATTTTATGGCTAAAAAAAAAACCTACCTGTTGTCCAACTGCATATAGTCTATCAATGCGTCGGAGGGATAGGGCGCCTTTTGCTGAACGTACCAAAAGATAGTCTGTATGAGGCAATTTATGGGGAAAAATAGGAGATCTGTACATGTTAGTTTCAAGACAGGATTGGCTGCAACCCGGACCAATATCTCCAAGGAAAGGAGATCTGTCAGAAGGATCAAGCGTAAGCACAGTGCCAAGGCCATTGTTCACATTTCGAAGAGATGAAGCAGTTTGATCATTTGGCACAAGTTTTTGGTAATAAGTGCAAAATCTAGCTCCCATCCCAACATTTCCTAGTAATAAAGGCCGCTCCTCGCAATACCTATGCCCATATAAACAAAAGCTCTAACACCATAAGCAAGTAACAGTAAAAATTATAAAACATGCTTAAATAATCAACTAGCAACGCAACAATAGCAAGTTTTATAAAAAGGAAAATTGCAAAAGTCAAAACAAGTGAATTTTATTGTATAAATCGCTGCAATTTCATGTGAGTGTGGCATAGTTAAGTGCATCAACTTTACCAATGAAAGTTGTCTAAATTTTTTATAACCCATGAATAACACTCAAATGAGATAAAGCCCAAAATAATTCCCTGAATATTAATTATTGCTAAATTTAGACCCTCAATTTCACTGCCCCAATTCAATCCCTCGACTATTAAAAATTGATCTAATTTAGCCCCTATGTTAATAAAATTGCAAATTAAATGAAAAAAGATGCAGCTCTCCCACTATTCATAATATGAAGGGAGAAATTTTCGTAAAAGATTATAATTTCATTTATTTTATAACGCTACTTATCACGTTCCCTTGCAATTGTGAGATATCAACGCTACACAGTGATGAGGGATTGCAGAGTTCAAACTAAAAGCAACGAAGTATTGAAGCAACATGCGACAATCTCTAACAAGCAACGTGAAAGAGACTAGTGTTTCAAATTGTGTATGCAAGCAGAGAAGTATAAAGTAATGCAGATATTTAATTACTTTTTCAAATTTAAAGTGTTTATATAATAGTCAATTAAATCTCCTGTAAGATTAATAATTATCAATATAATTTTTCATAATAACTTACAAGTTTGATACACATTACAAAAATTTTTGTTCTTAATTATTCACCCTTATTATTTAATATGTTAACTTTCATTCAAGTTTTGTATTTATTATAGTTTATTAAATGTCAAAATAGAGCAACAAAAGAAATAAAATTTTACATACACTTACATTACCTAAACTACATTCACGTTTAAATTTGTTGTTAACTTTAACTACTATTTTCGGCCATGTGATCAAATTGGATCAATTTTCAATTGACAAAGGACTAAATTGAGATAGTGTGAGAATCTGAAACTAAATTGGTTACTTATTCATAATCGAAGGGCTACTTTGGACTTTTTCTAAGATCACGATATTTTCATCAAAAGAAAAAAAGAACATGCTTTAAATGCTCAATTTCTTGAGAATAATAATATGAAACCAATTAGGAATTGCACGTAGAAATTTATAAAGATTGAATTAGGCGTTGTACCGTCAACCAATGTTTCACTTAGAAAAGATTTTACAAATTGAAAGTTGTCTAAATTGATATGGCAAGCAATTACATATTAGAAGAACGAGATCTCAAATAATATCAATCAAAATTTCATTATCTCACTTTTGGAAGGAAAGAAAGAAATTCAATCCATATTAGAATTAATTTGGGCTTAGATTTAGGGACTTTCCTAATTTAGATTTGATAATTTAGAAAAGTATTTGAATTTCAAATTAAAAGGATTCTTCCCAAATTACCTAGGCTAAATTAAGAAGGTTATTATGATGATGGAAATCATCATTAAGAGGGAGATATGGGTTGGGAGGGGCCGGCGGCTTTCTTGGAGGTAGGGAGGGTGGAGGATGGGAAGGAGGTTGTTTGGCATATATGAGGAAGGGGAAGTTTGGGTGGCCGTCGGGCAAGGGGTTGGGTTGGCCGGCATGGGGAGCTAGGGGAGGAGGAGGCTGTCAGCTAGGGAAAGAGAGAGGGGGTCGACGATTGGAGTAAAGGGGAAGATTCAGGCCACAAGCCCCGGACACTTTCGGCGACTGGTGGGTATTGCTTTTGCCCACACCTTGGGACTTCCCCACTCAAGAACTCACAAGCTCTAGAGAGAAATCATAAATTTTATTTCATTCATCATCATCCAAATACAAGAACAAGGACCTAATATATAGGCCTCAATGAAAAATAAAAGAAAGGACTAAAATGCCCATAGGGATACAACTCAAATCAACACACAAGCAAGGGTACAAACGTAAATCTGAAACTAATACATAAATCTGAAACTAATACAAATAATATATCAAATATATAAACTCCTCATCATAGCCGTCGATCTACGATGCTTCCGGCGGTAAACATTCTGAAATCTCCTACAGTCCTACTGATGTCCTCATCAAATAATGTCTATTCAAATCAGCTCCATGTTTACCCTCCAAACAAGTTGGCCAAAAGGAAAACAATTAAAAAACAAATCAAACAATTAAGGATCACCCTATCAAGGAAAAAAATGTACTCGCTTAATCGCTTTATTCAATCAAAACTTACAAACAAGCAAGTCATTTTACCTCTCGCAAGTGCTAGGGTTATATTTCAATTCTAATCCAAATAATCAAGACAATTTAAACCACAAGACAAATCCAGGTACTTCATTAAGTTAAATGCTTTGAAATAATTATTTTAAGAATTTCATCTCCATAAAATGGAACTCATAAAAACATAGGTGTGATGTAAAAACGTACATGCAAGGATGATCCAAGTAATCAAAAAATACGGAGTTCCCGCGACTATTGGAAGGCTTGGGAGGAAGTATGTGGCATCTAAGAACCTTCCTGAACATGTGATCAGCAACCTAGAACGTCCGGGCTGCATTTGAAGTCCTCCAAATGGCTGGAACAGCAAGAAAACATGTGCAAACTTCCCTGGACAGCGAACCAAAACCTTCAGACAGCTGGTACGAAAGTTTGGACAGCACGCCTTGACCTTAGGAACCTTGGCAGCAGCTCTAAGGGTGATCGGATCTCAGGATTGTGCATAAAATCTGTCCAGAAAAATTCTGGACAGCAGTTTGGCATGAAGAACTGCTGCGTTCCGGCTTTCTGGATCCAGAAATTGAAAGAGTATAGCAGGAAAATTTGAGAATAACAATGGGAATAGTCTCGAGATTAAATTACTTGCCTAGGTGGCAAGATTAACTAAATCCCAAATCAATTTGGGGGAGAGAGAATGGAAATCTGAAATTAAATTTCATATTAAGTGGAATTGGCGGGATGAATTTGAATTTAAATTCAAATTTTAATGGGGAGAATTAAATTGGATGAGAGGGAATTGTGGGAGGTAATTAAGGAGGCTTAATGAGGGGGGCTATTAATGAAATTGGAGAGAGAAAGCTCATGGAGAGGGGCCGGCCAGAGAGAGAGGGGAGAGGGGAATTATGGCTAATTAAGTGGGACCCACACATTATTCAAATCATTAAAGAAAATCTGAATTAAAATTCATAATTTATTTCAAAGAGGGGTTTCCTAATTTAAGTGCTAGTATTTGGAAAGCTTTTGAATTTCAAATTTGAATGTGAAATTCAATTAATAGCTCTCTTAATTACTTGGCCATATTTTAGGGGAAGCAATTAATGCCCTTTTGAAATTTGAATTTCAAACATGTGGTTTGGGTGAGGGGGGTAGAGGAGTTTTCAAATAGGTAGTGAATATTAGGAAAGAAAAATAATAACTCTAATTTGATTTATTTTGAAATTGGATTCATGAAAGAAACTTTCCTAATTTGGGATTCACTATATGGAAAGAATTTGAAATTCGAAATTTGAACTTCAAATATGGAGTGGTGGAGAGAGGGCCGGCGGGCGGAGGGTTGGTGCCGGTGGCTTGGCCGTTCCAGGGAGGCCGGCGAAGCTGCCGGTGGCGGGATCGGCCTGGGGTGGCCGACGGTGGACTTATGGGGGCCGGTGGAGGGAATTTGGGAGGAAGAGAATTTGGTTAGGTAGAGAAGAAATAAATTGGGTTTAGGAAAAAGAAAATCCGAAACTACACACCTCGAGCAACACCTTCAATAGAACTCACAAAGAGATCATCCGGAGCAACACAACTCGAGCAACACCTCCAATAGAACTCACAAAGAGATCTACAAGTGTCACTTCCTCAAGAACTCACAAAGAGATCTTGGGAATCTCGAAACTCACAAAGAGATCATTCTCCTCTCATGAACTCACTAAGAGATCAAACAAGTAGAATAAAATTTCATTAACAATTCATCATCCCATTACACAAGAAAGAGCCTCTATATATAGGCCTAAGAAACTAAAACAAAACGCATATGCCCCTAAGGCTTACATAGGACGACCCTCTTAAGTGATGATAAAAATGAAAAATTTATAATAAAAATTCAAAATTACAAATAAAATATAAGATAACGTGAGACGATGACAGCCGTTGATCTTCAGCTCCTCGAATAGCCATAGACGGTTGGATGTCCGCATCAAGGTGTATTAAAATAATTGTACAAACAGCAAGCAATCTAGGAAAAATCGTGTTTAGCTTTGCAGTATATTTTAAACTTGTTGACCCAAACAACTTGATGTTATTACATAGAAGTTTAAGATTTTCTATATTAAAAAAAAAAATTATCAAAACATAAACATTTTATACGAGAATAAGATACAATGTCTCAAAAAAAGTAATTCTTTTCTATTAACAACTTATTTACCAAATGCAATTAAAAAAGGTCTTACTTCCTTTTTATTTGAGATATTCCTTCCTAATTGACTAAGGAAAATTTTATTTATTTATTTATTTGAACTCTTTGCATAAGAAGTTTTTTTTTTTTTTTTGCAACCAATTGCCAAGATTCAAGGAAAATCATATCATATCAAAATTTCTTTTAAAATTTTAAGGACAAGATAAATGTTCACCAACAGCTGGATTTATTTAGTTTAATATCATTGAAGTTCAGGATTGCAAAAGCAACTTCTACTTATTTAGTAATGTTATGAGTTCAAATTGGATTCAATAAGACTTACGCATATAGTACAACATCATACATCAACAATGGTATAGTCCAAAGCATGTCAAAAGTACGTGAGGATGATTTCAAAAATGGAAGGAGAACCAAAGGTATATACAAAGTTAACTACTTACTCCATTAAAAATACATGTCCATCTTTGACAGATAATTCAGACTTCTTCTTAAATGCACCAGGTGGCCGCCGAGGTTTATTTTCACCAGGCAACCTTTGTGCCTTTGGCCATATCTGTATTCTTGTACGCACAAGATGAAGCACAGAATTTGGCCGCACTCCTTGAAATGCAAGAAATTTATCATCCTCCAGCTCTCTACCAGAATAAATAATTTTCACCTTTTCGGACATTTTAAATTCTGCAACAATATTTCATCAGAGATTTAAATTTTACATAACCAGCAAAAATATGTAAGCCCGAGTGAAATAAAAGGATTCAAACCAGTAATACATTAGAGTAAAACAAATGGGCGTGCAAGCAAAGGAAATCATCACTAAATCAAAATTAGGAGATATCGAGAAAACGCCAAAAGGCAAGAAAGACCTAGTTTCTTCGATGTTTTCATTTTAACACTGGATAAAGTCTCCTCTGCATCAACGTGAAGCTTAGCTCCTTTCCCTGCCAAGGTCATTATAACAACTTTGATAGGACCATTGGTAATAAGTGCTCCTTGTGCCTTTGCAGCAATTTCATTGTCACGAGGATACCATAATGCTTTTGGTCTATGGAAATTGGCAATCTCCTTACTGCAAGACTTTGACATGTTAGAGACTGTCACAAACCAAAAGACACCGCAATTATTAATAAATTTACAAACATAACAATACAATGAATCTCTTAATTGGGATAAGACTAGTGATGATGATGATGATAATGATGCTGGTCAATAACACAGTGAAAGCTAGACAATTAAGTAAATAAAAAAGATTGAAAAAATAATTGTTGAAATGTTCATCAGATGCTTTAATTTTAAAAAGGAAATGAAAAAGTCAGCAAATGACGGAGAATTGTGTGCAAAATGTATGACAACCTTGTTGAAAAGACGCCATAGACAAATCACAAAGATCTTCAGCAAGCTGACATTATGCATGGATATTAATAACCATTTCCAAAACATGAAATATAGTTCAAGAATGGTGGCTGCTTGATAGCGAGATCTTGAGAAGTCATAAAGTACCAGCTGAAAAAGAAAGAGATTCTAAAGAAGATAGAGAAAGAGAGAAAGAAGAAATAGAGAATTTATGGAAGAAGAGCTTGAATAACTCATTACTCGTGTAAGAAATCATAATCAACTGCCTATAATACAAAACAATATGGAGACCCATCATAAATCTCAAATAATACATTCATAAAATGCATTATTTTTTTAAACAAATAAGTGGAATAAAGTGTCCTTATTATATATATATATATATATATATATTTTTCTTATTTTTTTTTTTTTTTTTTGGCGCGTTGGTGGATCTGCTTGCAGAGTTTCAAATTCTTCCTTTTCTTTAACATAAAAGATTTAGTAGATCTTTGAAAGTCCGAGATAAACCCAATCCACTTCAATTAAGCCTTGTGTGACCCCACTTGGTTGAGAACCCAAAGCCACCTCCACTCCCAAAATTATTCCAAAATTCCTATAGCGGAGAAGGTTGACATGATTCCTAGTGATTGATATATATTTCACAAAAAGAGGGTGACGGAAAGAAGATATTACTGGTTTGAAAGAGGTAAACCAAAGTCAGAGGATACATTGATCAGAGCGCAAGGTGATACAGCTGATCGATTCAGAATTACGCTAGAGTTCTTGAGACATCCACTCGACGGAGCTCGAGTTTTCTCCCACCTGGGAGAATGATGAGGACATCGGATATTCATACGGTTACGATTTTTAGTTATTTATTAGATGTTTTTTTTTTATATGTTGTTTTCCATTATACCTTATGGTGTGATCATATAGTTGTTGTGCGAAGGCATTTTAGTCTTTATTTTTCTCCTTTTCATGAGGCTATTTATTAGGCTAGCTTTCTTGTATTGAATGATTATGAAATGGAAATTTTCAGTTTGTGCTTATGGAACTCTTTGTGAGTTCTAAGCTTTCCTATCTTGGATGATCTCTTAGTGAGTTCGTGAGAGGAGAGGCCCAAGTGGGGCAAAGCAATTACCCGTCGAATCTTGGTGCGGACTTCAAGGTTCGCGGTTCTCTTATTCTTTCTTAGTTTTTTTTTTTTAATGTTCTCCTTGCAGCGAATTCCTCATCCACCCCAATTATCTCTAGCTCCACCGCCTAATCCCAATTCTCCTTATCTGCCCAATTAACCCGCGGCCTGCAGGCCTTGCCGTCGCCTCCCCTCTATTCCGCCCAGACCCCCCAGGCCACCCTTGCGCCACCTCCCGCCGCAAGCCAACCTCCACACCGTGGCCGTCCCCTTCCCCCTCTCTAGCCGCCCCCGGCTCCTTTTCCTTGGAATTTCGAAATTTGAAAATTCCAAAGTTTTATGAGCATTAAATGTTTTCCTAATTTTTTCTTCCCTGAATTCATGCAATCCATTTATTTGAATTCCAATTTCGAATTTGAAAATTCAAATTAATCCAATGATTGTCTCCTATTAGGAAAACTCCTCCTTTTTAGAAAACTGAAATTTAATTTCAGATTTGTGTAAAACTGAAATTAAGAATTGTGGTCCACCACCTAAATTAAAACAAATCGCTTCCCTCCTCTCTCTATATGCCGGCCCCTTCATTGGGTTTCTCTTCTCCTATTGGCATTTAATTTCTCCGCATTTAATTCTCTAATTCCCTCTCGATCACGTTAATTCTCCACAATTAAAACTTGAATTCAAATTCAAATCATCCCGCCAATTTTACTTAATCTGAAATTAATTTCAGATTTCAAATTTAATTGCGCCAAATCCTAACCTAGCTCTAGGCCTCCCCCTTTCCCACTCCTCCCTTCCCAAATCCCACCGCCCTTCTCTTTGGGAGATTCTGGGACTGTCCAGAGAAGCTCCGGCAATTGTTTTGGCGTCCCAACGTCCAGAATTACAGTATTTCTTGTCCAGAAAGCAAATTCCAGCATCTTCCTTTGCTCTGCCCACAGTTCCGGCAACTTCCCGTATGCTGTCCAAGTTCATTTCCACAGTGCAGTTTGCATGTCCAGGGAAAATCTGCACCGTATCTGGCTGTCCAGCCAAATTGGAAGTCTGTCAAACGTTATCCGGACGTTTCAAATTGTTGACGACGCTTCAGGGATTCATGGATGCCACTACTTTTCCAAGGCCTCATACAGCTCCAGAACTTCGTATCTTCCGGACTATTTGGGTAACTCTCCTCCAAGTCTTTATCTCTTAGTCGGCTACTCAATTGGAGGTTTCATAAGTGATCATGAAGGTTCATGCCATTTTCTCCGCATAAAAACTAGTAATGGCATGAAGTGTGTGAGGATCTTCTCATAGCAACTAATCTTAATGTAGTATAGGGAATGTTCTCGTTGAACCACTCATGTATGCCAAAGTAAGACTTAGTTTGGACTATTTAATGATCTCAACCCTCTCATGTGTTTAGCCTAAGCTATTTTATCACTTTATATTTTTATTTTGGCGTTTATCATCAAGAGGAAGCTTATAATTATTGTGCTCTAAAATTTAAGCGTTGCAACTTCCTTGAATTTAATCATCCATGCTTTGTACGTTCACATCAGTTGAGGTGTGAGTGTGATGATGTGTGTAATCTTAAGCTGACTATGGTCGAGTATTGGATTGAGCTTGCAGTAGTGATCTAACTGGAGGACCAATGCCACATCTAGGCATGATGAGTCTTCAACTACTACGTTGCTCCCCAACCCATACAATTGGAGATACATGCTATTTCTCAACTATTGTTGCTCGCTTCATCATAGATACTTTGGCTTTCCACTACTTTCACCACCGGATTGTCATATATGTTCCCATTTGTTAATATAATGCTGACTTCATGTTTTCATTACTTATACAACCATTCTTTATTGATTTGATTGATGTACCAGATTATTCAGTCACTAACAATCCAACTGGTCCTTCATGATAATTGTTGCCACTTTCAATACTACTTTTGCGTGTTTAGAACCATGCACTAAGCAATTTTGCTTCCACCACCATCATGGTCACTTTCCAACTCTTCGGAGAAGTGTTTCTTTTGGCCATGTGATCTTATGAAGGTCACTTTATTGCAGTTATTTTCTTT